GGATCACTGGGATCACCCGCAGGATCGCTGGGAGCTCCCCCGGGATCACAAGGGCCACACCACACACCAGGATAAGCGCGGGATCGCCGAGATCTCCCAGGATCACTAGGACCGCACCGGGATCAGCCGCGGTACCACCGGGATCTTCTCGGGATCTTGACGGGATCACCCCCAGGGTCCACCAGGACTGCATTGGGATCAGCTGTGGGATCACCGAGATCTCCACAGGATCACTGGGACTGCACTGGGATCAGCCATGGAATCAAGGAGCTCTTCCTGGCATCACTGGGACTGCACTGGGATCAGCCATGGGATCAAGGAGATCAACCTGGGATTACCAGGACCACACCAGGGTCAGCCGCAGCACCACCGGGATCTCCTTGGGATTGTACCGGATCACCCCTGGGATCACCATGGCCACACTGAGATCAGCCATGTCATCACCAAGATCTCCCTGGGGTCACTGGGACCACACTGGGGTCAGCCATGGGATCACTGAAATCTCCCTGGGATCACCAGGACTACACTGGGATTAGCCACAGGCTCAATGACTTCTCCCCAGGATCACTGGCATCACACCAGGATCTCACTGGTATCACCAGTGTAGGATCCCCAGCACCCCAGATCACCCATGGCACACAAGGATCACCTCCATGACACAGGCACCACAGGAATCTGGGATCACCAGCACCCCTGAGATCTCCCATACCCCAGGGCACCAGCAATCCAGGATCACCAGTACCCCTGGATCACCCACACACCCCCAGACACTGGCACCACACCTCTGGGATTCCAAGCACCAAGGGATCACCAGCACCCCAGGACAACCCTAGGATCTCTCCCAGCACCACAGGCACCCCTGGGATCACACCAAGGACACAAGCACCCCCAAACCTCCACCAGGCCCCCAGCCTTGCTCTCCTGTGCCCGTGCTGCTCCCCTGATCTAAGGGGGCACCCAGGTCTCCCCAACCCCGGGATGGTGCTTCTGCCCAGGGCACATTTCAGAGAGAAACACCCCCAAAAATTGCATAAACACCCAAAAATTGCTAAAACCTCTTCTTGTCCTTTCACTGGTTACTTTATTTCACCAACTTCCCAAACCCCAGGGAGAGCTCAATGAGACAGTGTGGGAGTACTCCAGGATACCTGCCTGCTTTCAGGGTGTAAGGACCTTCCCACTCACACAGGAGCCTCCAAACGACACTTCCATCATCCAATACTGACATTTCTTGCTTTGTTTTTTCCAGATTTGGGACCATAGCGTGGGCAGCAGTGGCACAGGGACCCAGAGGGACAGGAGCAGCATCCATGTGGGAGCATGACAGGGAAGAAGAGGGGGTGTGGATGGAGCTCAGTTTGTGTGGAAGAGTTTTCTTGGGAACTTCAGGCTGGGTTGAATTTCAAGCAGCTTGATAAGCCTTTGGAAATTGATAATTACAAGAAAAGGGCATTTCTAGGCTGTTACCCACAGCACTCTTGGGGGGCAGGTGCCATTACTGTAAGAGGAGTGAGCTGCAACAAATTAAATCAAACAGCTTGGACTAATTAATTTTTCCAGAGTTTCATGTAAATGGGAAGGCAGCATGTGGAAAACCTTTGACCTGGGATGTGTGAATCCAGCGATTCTCCTGCTGTGGCAGGTGCCAGTTGTAGCAGCGGGGGCTGTTTGTCCTCTGTCCCGTCTCTCAGTGGGGCCCAGCCAGTATCTTCCCATCGCTCCAAGCCACATGCCAGGGTTTTTTCCAGTAATCCTGGTGATTTGCCAGGCTTTGGCCAGAGTACTGCTGACAGTGACAGATCACAGGTGCTGCATTTTGGGGTTTTCAAAGTTATTCTTCAAGCTCCCCAAGTAATTTTGAAGCTCTCAGGGTTCCACAACATCACAGAGGGATAAAGAAGCAACTCCTGCCTGCAGGAGCTCCGAATGCAGACCAGAGCCTGCGCCCATCAGCTGTGGTGGCCGAGGGCCACCTGAAACACATGGTAGACACAAAAATCATGGCTGATGCTTTTATTCCTTGTAGAGGCAAGCAGTGGAAGCTCCAAGGAGGAGCTGGACCCCAGAGTTCCTTTAGGCCAAGCCTGCAGCTGGCACAGCACATATATATATGTATATCTGGGTCCACATCCATACATCCCTCCTTAGAGCCTGTGGTATAGGCATGGAGAGGATTGTCGGGGGAGCTGCCACTGATGGCCGCCCGTTGGCAGCAGTAGGAGAAGATGGGATTCTTTTGGCTGGATATTTGGTACACAAACTCCCCTGGCATGTGCCGAGTTGGAAGCAGCCTCCCACGTCTGCTGAGGAAGAGGAGGACTTCCAGCAGGCCTTCAGTACGCTCCACGTCGTAGACAAAGGTAACAGCAGCCTGGCTAAGCAGCACAGTATCCCCTGGAGCTTTCCAGTTGCTGGGCACCATGATCTCACCCTGGATCTGAATTGCCTTCCCAGAAAGCGGTGGGCAAACAATGTCCTAGTCCTGCTGCACTGGAGTGGGGAGAGTATCATAAATCAACGCTGCTGCGTCCAGCACCTGATGGAAACATTTCTCTTGCATGCACCTCTCCAGCCCCTTCTATCCAGGAAGGCAAACACCCTGGGGCTGCTTCCATCCAAGGGAGGATTCGCTCTCACCTAGACTTTGCTTCTCTGGATACACCTTGAGAGCATCAAAGCCTCTATCACAAACAAGCCTGGGAGGCCCTTCCCTCCCTCCTCCTTCCTGGGAGGCACAGGGGAGGAGGGGGAGCAGAAGCAGCCCAGGTTGTCCACAACACACCTTTCTGTCGTGCCACTGTTTTCCAGAGACACTCAGAAAAACAAGCGTTGCTATTTGAACTCCCTGGCTCGCTGCCTGTCTAAACAGTGGGTTTGATTACCAGTAACTGCAAGTCTAGCTGCACAAAAGTTGGAGGGTGTTCTTTTTTCCTACTGTTTATTGTTGATAAATCTGTTTGGATATGAACATGAGGCACTTTCTGAGCTGGTGTTGCTTATGAGTTCCAGGCTGAGCCCAAATCTGCTATGTGACGTGCAGAAACGACATGGGTTTATTCTTCCCAGCAGCTGGGATGAGCCCTGGTTTCTTGTTCATTTGCTCTAGGGATGACATGGTTTTGCTGTATGCGTGCTGGCAAGAGGAAAGAAAAAAAGGATCAGTAATGTGAGCTCAGTTTTCAGAGCAGAATTCTCACCTGTAAAAGACATCTTCCTGGGAAAAAAATCCCAAACCATTTTCCCAATCTTCCCAAATGGTGCTGCAAAAAGTTTCCCAAAGAAGCCCCATCACACCAGCATTGCTCTACCAGTGGCAGATCCCAGCAGGCTCAAAGGAGGACACAAGAAACCCTGGGAAATGCTCCTCCTGAGCACTGAAGAGCTGGTTTTGAGATGTTTTCCTTAAAACCCCTTACTGATAGATTGTGCAGCCCTGTTACTGTCCTGATCTTTTTGAAGCTCAGGGCCTCGGTGGTATCCTACAATGAGCCCTGAAGAAACTCCAAGTGAAAGGTGCCAAGATTGTTTTTTTAGCATAAGAGCAGCATGAGATGGGGCCTTTACATCAGCCAAAGAACATTTCAAAGAGCTTAGTTACAGAACCAAACTGGCATCTTTCAACAGGCTACAGCCAAAACGTCATCTGTTCCAGAAAAGTCCTATACTCCACCTGGCAGTGAGGCACAGAATCACTCTCCCAACATGCATCAGCAGCTGTATATGGAACTGGGCCCCCTTGAGATTACCTTTTGATCAGTCCTCATTTTTGCCCTGTAGAAGGGGACTGAAGCTGGGCAGGCCGGCAGCATTGTCTCCTGCATCTGCTCGAACCTCTCCTGCACGTCTTCCTCCTGCCACCAGAAAGACAGACTCTACTCCATGTGAAAAAAACACATCTGGAGGTGTAGGGGTCAACTGATCCCAATGCCTCATTGAATGCCGATTCACCAATCTCCCCGAAGCCTCAGAAGTGAGAAGTCGCCTCTTCCTATACCTTAGGTGAGCAGATTTGGGTAGGACTTCAACCAAAATCCATCTGGAATTGTAAAGCCCCAAACGGAGTTTCCCCAGCTGTCTTTGCACAGCCATGCTCTGCCTGTAACTACCCACAGGACAGTCTCCCTCCCACGGCACAATAATCTTGAAGTGCGAAGGAAGTCTGAGCTTCAGTGTGGTCCTCACTGATCCAAGCTAGCTAGCTGATGTCCATGCCTGTGTTTCTTCAGGGAACCTTTTGGAAGGTGTAAGCACACAGAAGAGGAACATGGGTTGAATTAAGTGTATTTTTTTTTGAGTTACCAGCTTGTGTATAATGTTTTCACACCATATTTGAGGATAGTTCTAGCAGATTCTTAGGTCACCTTCTGTGTTCATGAGTAGCCTCGAGAAGGTGACATTGGAATTCTGGTGTGATAAAAGACAGGTGGCCAAATGGAATCTAGCTGAGAGTAAAAGGTGCAAACCCTGAAGAAATGAGCTAGGACAGGAAACTAAGAACCAGTCTGGAAGAGGGAAAATGGTTCTAAGTAGGAAACAAACCACCAGAGAAAAATGAGGTGGTTGCACAGTATGGGCCTCAGTGGGGCCAGTGATGCTGGGAAGCTGCAGTGAAATGCCCAGTAAAAGAAACAAGAGAAACAAGCACTGAGCAACATTACAAGGGGCACTGTTTGTCCTTCCCCTGAAGATTTCTGTCTGTAACATCAGCAACTTGACACAGCTGCAGAGCATTGCTAAAAGGCATGCTTCATTCATCTTTGGGGTTATAATTGATGCGATGACAGGAAATCCAGGGCTGGAAGCCATTAAGGGGGTTTTTCTGAACACATTGAGTAACTTGGGTTGATAGAAGTGACTAGTGGTGGATCCTTTTTTCCCCAAAGAGGGACATCCTGGACTCAAGCAGTCAGTTGGGGTTTCCCTGTTGACTCACTGGGGGGTTGGGGTTTGGCTTTTTTGCTCCTTCCTGTACAGATCTGCTTCTGTGTCTGAAAACTTCCACAGTCAGTAGATCACAACATTCTGTTTAAAAGTAAACTCAAAATAACTCCTTTTTTTTTTCATCACATTATGTTTGTTACTCATACCCTCAAGGGAAACTAATTCAGTAGGATGGGAAGAACCTGTCTCTGATCTTTGAAACTCATCACATGCCTTTCTAGAAAGAAGTAAGAAAACACTTCACTGAGATTTACAGTCAAAATAATCAGACACCTGGAGACAAAAGAGTTCCTTTTCTGTTTTCCTTCTAAAAAGTCAAAGCCACCTGTCCCCACTACACACTGACTAGAAATGGGGCTGTGCATTTAGGAAAGGGGTCATACAGCTCACATCCTGCTTATTCCCTTTCCCAAACACCTGTGGGTGCCCCCTGCTTGATGGGGATGGGCTTCTGGGAGAGACAGACCTATGACTGGTCCCCCCTAGCTGTTCTCTGCAATCCACAGAGATTAAGCAGCAATAATTGAGATGGGTTACACCTACAAAGGGCTGATTCTCCCTCACAGCCAGGGTGGGATCTCACTCCTTTGTTACAGAATCATAGAAACACAGGATGGTTTGGGTTGGAAGGGACCTTAAAGCTCATCCAGTTCCAACCCCCTGCCATGGGCAGGGACATCTTCCACTAGAGCAGGTTACTCCAAGGCCCGTCCAGCCTGGCCTTGAACACTGCCAGGGATGGGGCAGCCACAGCTTCTCTGGTCACCCTGTGCCAGGGCCTCACCACCCTCACAGGGAAGAACTTCTTCCTCAGATCTCAGCTAAATCTCCCCTCTGGCAGTTTAAAGCCATTCCCACTCGTCCTGTCCCTACCTGCCCTTGCCAAAAGCCCCTCTCCAGCTTTCTTGTTGGCCCCTTTAGACACTGGAAGCTGCTTTAAGCTGTCCCTGGAGCCTTTTCTTCTCCAGGCTGAACAAGCCCAGCTCTCTCAGCCTGTCTCCATAGCAGAGGTGCCCCAGCCCTCAGAGCATCTTCTTGGCCTCCTCTGGACTCACTCCGACAGGTCATGTCAGACAGAGTGGAAGCACTGCCACCACATTCCTATCAAACAGCATGAAGGTTTTGAGCCTGACATTTAACAATGAAGGACAAAACCTGGAATTGCTTCAGAGGAGGATAACGCAAAGAAGAGTGGTAAATGAGAAGCTTGAGAGAAATGTGCTTTGTCAGGACCAACAAAAGACCCTGGGCACCCCAAAGTTGTGGTTTCTAAACAGAGGGCTGGCTACGTACCAGTTGCCACAACACAAAACACAATAGTTTAGCTGTACCAACTGGAAACAAGCCTCCTAACTACCCCTTGCACCTCTGGGCAACCTGCCTGATTCCTGATAGTCAGCAGATGACTGGGTACTTCAATCACTCTGTCCTATTTTAGCCTCTTCATGGTAAAGCTAATGTGAAAGCAAGATGTGTCTCCAGATAGTTGCTCTCTGCATCATAGCAGATAGCATTTCAATACCAGCCACTCTGCTTAGGGTCCTCCTCCTCCTCCCACAGGCTTAGTCGTGCCCTCATTACCATGCCACGTGCAGCTATTAGGGAGAATAAGCAGAGCTGCCAGGAAAACTCACCAGGCACATGACTCTGTTTATGGGAATCATTCCAGGTCTGATGTTGCCACCGGGATTCAGAGCTTCCTGCACATCCTTGGGGATAAGGAAGGACTCGTTGTACCAGATCTCGAACTCTGCAAAGCAAAGCAGGCGGCTGTAATGACAGAAGAGATGGGGCGGATTGCTTCTGTCCCTGAATCAGACAGGAACTCAGTGCTTTTAAACTCTCAGATGGGACCTCAGAACTCCAACATCTCGAGTTTTAACTATTAGAAAAGCTAGTTTAAAAGGACGGGGCACTGTTAGCTGGCATCGGCTGTGCCTAGACAGACTGCTGCCTGTCTCTGCTGTCTGTGAGGCGGCTGGGACGTGATGGCTGGCCCTGGGGACAGTTCCCTGGGCTTGTGCAGCCCAAGATGCTGTCCGCAAGGTGGCACTGCTCCTGCACCCCGGAGCAATCCCGCCCGGAGCTGGCCATTTTGAGTGGTCAGCACATTCGGGGCTCAGATTTCAATTCCAAATGCTTTCTCCATCCTGTAATAGCCAGTGATAACACACAATATCAATACTGGGCATTTCCCAGACACCTGCTGCGAAGCAGCTGTGCTCCGCTCCACAACTCTAGCATGTTCCCCCATGGAGTGGGAGAGCCCGCAGCCCCCGAAAAAGGCTGTGCTCGCCAGGGAAGACACCGGGAACTGAGCTGCTTTCTGTGCTAGGAGTCATGAAAGATAAATAAAGGTTAAATACAGAGCCCTGCTCTTGCTTGGCACAGTGGACATGATGCAATAGCGCTGACATTTTTCCCTGGTTTTAGCTCTGAGATGACCTCCTCACTCAGGGATGACCCAGATATTGAGTCCCTGCCTGTGTGCTTAAACAAACAGCAGATATCTGGAGCACACATAAAAGGCCAAACCCAGATCCAATGGGAACTGGTGGCAAAGATTCTGCACGTTTATGATTTGTCCCTGTCTATCTCCTGGAACAAGCCACATATTTTTTCAGCATGGGATGCACTGATGGATACAAGCTGTGCTCTGGAAAGTTTGTAGAAAATCAAGTGTTGCCATGTGCACAGCATCCAAATGTTCGGGCCTCTGGCATTTGTACCCCTACTGTCTTCCATTAGACAGGACAAATCTGCAATACAGCAGGACCGCAATCCCATTACAGCAGATTCAAACTGAGTGGTCTGCAGTGCAGCACACCAGAAATCTCATGCATCACCCTGAGCAGAGGTGTGACTTGTCACCATGAGGGTGGTGCTCATGAGGAACACGCTAAAATGACCATGCTCTGCTTCCTGCCAAGGCACCCATGCTGCAACACTGGAACCTGAATCTCACAGGGGTACAGAGGAGACATCTGTAGTCCAAGCTAAAGCCCTGGCCCAGTGCAGTTCCTTAGCCACCACGTTGACCAAAGGAAATCACTCAGCTCAATGTCCAAATGCAGTCAAGTTTTAAGGTCCCTTCTAACCCAAACCATTCTGTGATTCTGATTCTAAACTGGAGACTGTTCGGAAACTGCCCTGTCAAGTCAATACCTGAGATGAGTTTATTCCGGCATTTGTTCACCAGATCCTGGCAGTACTCGATTTCTGCCTTCAGGTCCTGCAGTTCAGCGTAACTAGACCTATACTCTTCCTTCAGCTCTTTCAGCTTCACAATGAGTAAAAACTCCTTCTCATCAATTATGATGTGTCCTTTCTCATCAACATACTCTCCTGGAGGGTAAGAAAAGGAAATGAAGGTTTCTTATGAGGGTGGAGAAGAATGAAGAACAGTCATTATACTTTGAACCACACAGTAGTTACCCAGTTATGCTGAGGTTAACCACACAACTGACATTTCCTTAGACACACTTGCTACAAATATAATGCTGGAGTGGTGTGCAGCAGAAATCTCTGCTTAACTCCTGAACTGACACCAGTCCTCCCTGAACTGAGACATGTGCAGTTAAACCTAAAGAGGCCAACAAGAAAGCTGGAGAGGGACTTTTTATAAGAGCCTGTAGGGATAGGACAAGGGGGAATGGCTTTAAACTGACAGAGGGGAGATTTAGATAAGACCTTTAGGATTAAGTTCTTGCCTGTGAGGGTGGTGAGGCCCTGGCATAGGTTGCCCAGAGAAGCTGTGGCTGCCCCATCCCTGGCAGTGTTCAAGGCCAGGTTGGACAGGGCTTAGAGCAACCTGCTCTAGTGGAAGATGTCCCTGCCCATGGCAGGGGTTTGGAACTGGATGAGCTTTAAGGCTCCTTCCAACCCAAACCAGGCTGTGATTCTCTGATTCATGAGGGACCAGGCTCTGCAGGAAGACAGCCCGCTGGAGGGTATCACACAAGGCTTTTATGCCTCCTACCGAAAAACTTCACAGGCAGCCATGGTGAGGGTTTTTGTGACAAAGGGCTGGTCAGCCCTTTGGGGACACTTAAGCCAGTGCTACTTTCCTATGATAAACATCTCTCAGTTTTTATTTCCCTCAAATCAGTTTATTCCTGTGGTTTTCAGCATCCACAATATATCACCAGTTGGTAAATGTCATCATAAAGACCAAAGGCCCAAAAGAAGCCATGAAAAGACAGACCCTCACTTCAATATGATTTGCTTGTCATTTATCCAGAAGAGCTTTGCATCCTACACACCCTATGGGAAAAGGCCCCTTGGTGATAAAATTATCTCTAGAGGAAGAGAAATGGAAACCAGCAGAGCAAACTCTGGGTCTCACTCTGACCCTCATTCACTGGTCAGGGCCCTCATTACCTCCTATTTCCCACTAATTGCCTGGTAGCCATTAAAGGTGCAGTTTCACAGAAATGAGTTGTTTTGCTGTCCTCCCCACATGCAAGGTACACCACTGCTGCTTCCTCACAGAGCACTCTAGGCTGCTCTACTACTAAAGCCATTTTTGGTTCAGATTTCTCTCCTTGCCCAGAGGCATTTCTTCTCCACTCTGTAGAGTGCAACAGCACTGACCCTTGGGAGCCCTGCTGCAGGGAGCATGTAACTTGACACACTTCCTAGTCTCATACAGGCATATTTAACCTAACAAACATCTTGCCACAGCAAAGTAGGAAGGCACTGACCCCATTTTTTGCTCTAGTACCTTGTAGTTTCGTATTTTGACTTTCATAGATCACAGAATCCTATAATTGTTTGGGTTGGAAGGGACCTTAAAGCTCATCCAGTTCCAACCCCCTGCCACAGGCAGGGACACCTTCCACTAGAGCAGGTTGCTCCAAGCCCCGTCCAACCTGGCCTTGAACACTGCCAGGGATGGGGCAGCCACAGCTTCTCTGGGCAACCTGTGCCAGGGCCTCACCACCCTCACAGGGAAGAACTTCTTCCTCACATCTCAGCTAAATCTCCCCTCTGGCAGTTTAAAGCCATTCCCCCTTGTCCTATCTCTACCTGTCCTTCTCAAAAGCCCCTCTCCAGCTTTCTTATCAGCCCCTTTAGGTACTGGGAGGCTGCTCTAAGATCTCCCTGGAGCCTAAACCAGTCTCTAATCCTGATGAAATGAAGCTGTAGAAGATGCATCTCCACCACAGTTAGGGTATGCATGCTACCCAGGATTGCTGCACCGTGCTGACCTGCTTTAGTCAGCAGTACACTGCCTAATCCGTCAGTGTGGGGTGAGGAATCAACCTGACTGCAGCTCACCTCACCAGTGTAAAGCCTGAGTAGCATGAGTCAGTGAGGATGAAAGCTGGAGGACTCAGGTGGCAAACCACAAAGTCAGATGCAGAGCTTGGGCATAAAGCCTGGCCCTGGCAGGCAGCAGTGGTGGTCTAATGGTCTCACTGCCGGAACTGCTTTGAAACCAGCAGCTCTCCTCTTCTGTCAGATTCTTGCTGGCCAGTGTCCACACAGCAACTTACCCTGCTGCCACCGCTCCTGCTGCTGAGCCTCCAGAGCCTTTTTGATGCTCTCCATCTCAAGCTTGATGGAGTTGATCCTCTGTGCTACAGTACTTCTCCTCTTCTTCCTGTCATATAGGATGCTTTTGTTCTCTTTAAAGATCCGGCTGATCTCACTTCCATACTCCTCCTTAAACATCTCAAATGCTGCTGGCTTGGGTGGAGGGGAGCTGCAGCAGAATTCAAAGAAAAGACACACAGACATGGGGAAGTCAGTTAGTTCTGCCCTGCAGCATGACACAGTCCACAGTTGCCATAGCTGCAGATTGTGGATGGTATTTCAAGGCGCCCTTTGAGGACCTCACTGTGCTAGCTGCACCCTGGCACTATCTCTGCACCAACCTTCATATGTATACCCCGGTACTATTCCCAGAAGAAGAGTTATTAACATAGAAACCACATTCCTTAGGAGATGCCTCAGAACTGAGTCTTCCCTGGAAAGTGGACCTTTCATGGTCTGAATTTTCAGAAAAATAATAATTACTATTCCTCTCTATTGTTAAACAGAAAAGCTTTTGCTCTTTCCTTGCTGGTTTCCCAGCACAGACCAGTCAGTCACCTCTGCCAACAAACCCCACAGCTGCATGTATTAGGTGGCTCTACAATGCTGCCACCCATGGCTTTGAAGCCTTGACTATTTAGAAAGACTGAATTCAAAGTGGCATGTGTCAATCCTGACTTTTCTATGAAATGTGATGCAAAGGCTTTGATGCTCTGAGGGCTGGAGCACCTCTCCTATGAGAGAGCTGGCCTTGTTCAGACTGGAGAAGAGGCAACTACTCTGTGATTCTATGATGCAAACGTGCCACCATGAACACCAGCTCTTGGTTCAACATAAACCACACTAGAAAAGGAGACTCCCTTGTGGGAACGTCACACTCCCATGGATGCTGCTCTGTGCTGCATAAGGTTGTTCTTGGTGTGCAAGGTGTATCTGGTAGCAGAAGGTAGCCAGAAGTCTCTACATTCCTCAGTCCAGATTGGTCAAAGCAAAACTCTGACGACTGCCTTCCCCTGATTGACCTCTTCAGGGCATTTTCAGACTTCTCAAAGGCTGCATGTGACAGCTTTCCCTGCCAAACTGCTGGCATGGCACTGTAAACAACCACCGCTGGGCAGACTGCCACAGCTACAGCTTTGACAGTCAGCTACCAAGCTACCTGAAGCACTCTGGGTTGTGCCTTACACAGCTGCAACAGCAGCCTTCACTGCCAGCCACAGGACTTTTAGATTAATACTAAACCACCTGCAGAGACCTTGGAGGAACATGGTAACATTTTAAGGTGCTTCAGGAGTAAATTTTCCTGAGACAGCCTCACTGTGATGCTCTCCCTGGGCAGCAGGAACGAGACAGGACTGGTTGTCTACAGCACAGGCAATAGAGGTGCTCACAATACTTGAGAGCTACCTTGCTTGAGAGCTCTCAGCAAGAAAAGATGGTTTATGATGGGAAAACCAGTGTCCAGACTGGTTTGTGGAGGGCCCTGGCTGAGCTCCTGTGAGCTGAACAGCCTCGTGCTGTTGAGACCATTCTCCCAGAAAGAGTTCTTTGTCTTGGTACCCTTAGCACTTTTCACCCCTTCCACTCCATCCAGAACGAAATGCAATTCAGTGCTGCCCTTCCATGCTAAATTCTTGTCTTGCTACAAGCAGATGATTGGCACATTGCTCCAGTTTCGGTCATTTTCCACTCTTCCGTTTTGAGATGGTACCTCTTGCCATGATCTTCTGCAGCCATTGACCCATTTTTATGACTACATGGGGTTTTGTGGCTGGATATGTGATGCCTCTGCACTTTTGCTATTGACTAAAGGGTAAAGAGAGCTGCAATTTTCAGAGACTTCCCAATTAATCCTAGAATGGTTTGGGTTGGAAGGGACCTTAAAGCTCCTCCAGTTCCAACCCCCTATCATGGGCAGGGACACCTTCCACTAGAGCAGGTTGCTCCAAGC